CTCGTGTGGGGGCTCTTAAATTTATTATATTATTTATTATTATTTAAATAATAAATTAAAAATAAATTAAAATAATAATAATTATTATTAAGAAAGGTTTGCTCCCCACACCGGAGCTCGCGCTATTCCGCCGACTTTTCTTGACACTTGACTGACTCACGACTGCCATCCAGAGCACACGAGAAGTCCATCGAACCTTCGACTCGGCAAACCTGCAAGAAAGCACCACTCCCTGCTCAATGCACAGTGTTTCGGGGAATTCACCCCTCATCAGTTGAGCTTGAGTAGGCTGAGGAAGATTGTGCCTGAAGAGCACCACTTATATAGTGCTCTCCAGGCGCAAACATCACCAGGGATACAAACTTACAGAGACGCTCCGCTTCCAGCGCGACAAACACCTACTCAAGCTCAACTGATGAGGGGTGAATTCCCCGAAACACTGTGTATTGAGCAGGGAGTGGTGCTTTCTTGCAGGTTTGCCGAGTCGAAGGTTCGATGGACTTCTCGTGTGCTCTGGATGGCAGTCGTGAGTCAGTCAAGTGTCAAGAAAAGTCGGCGGAATAGCGCGAGCTCCGGTGTGGGGAGCAAACCTTTCTTACAAATCATCGCCGAAGTCGCAACCACTACTTCATACTGTTGTGCCCAGCGCGGGCTTGCGACTAGTTGGTTTGGAGGTGACAGCGTTGCGAATGACCGAGGGTCCTCGACGTCTGTCTCACCGTCCAGGAGCGACACTGACTCACGCTGCTATCTGGTGTTCACTAGTAAGGACACCTACATGTATAATTATTATACATGTAGGTGTCCTTACTAGTTAACGAGCAGACCACTGCAAATATCTCTGTATACACGTTCTGATGGACGCTTTCTCCCAAAAAATACTCAAGGCTACTCTAAATTGCATCTGAAGACGCTGAGGTACTCAAGGCACTGCAAACAATTTGCGCGAGGCAAGCATGGATAATCAAGATTCCCGTATGTCACATGACTGTCGCCTTGGAGTCGACCAATGATAGATCAAATTACGCGGTCTGGAAAGCGTGATCCTGCCTGCTAAATGGTGATGGAACCAGTTCCACTGCCTGTCGTCAAGTGACGACGGGCAGTGGACGGCATCCACTGCCCGTCGTCATGTGACGACGGGCAGTGGACAGAATCCACTCAGGAGGCTTCTACATTTATTATACATATGTTGACCTTCACTTTCCCTAAAAAGGAGTATTTTATAAACAGTATTTATTGGCCTTAGTGGTATTTTTAATATTTATTGGCCAAAAGCCAATAAATACTGTTTATAAAATACCACTAGGCCAATAAATACTGTTTATAAAATACTCCTTTTTAGGGAAAAGTGCAGTGCTGCATGGAAAAGTACAGTGGTATTTATTGAGTCAAGCAAATTGTTTTGAATTTGATACTGTTGATGGTGTGGTCACTAATGAGTGTGGGTATTTATCAAAGGTCAATATATTGTAGGGCATACAATCAGCCATATATGCACGACGCACCATGTGTTTATTATATAGTTCATACATGCCACGTGCCTAGTTGTAGACTAATAAGGTAAAGCCTAGTTCACATTCGACGGGGTGCGACGGGACGCGACGTAAGGATCGAGGGGAAGCGACAGGACGGTCTGACGGCGTCCAACATGGTCCAATGTGAACATTGTTTTGACCGCGTCTCTCACATCGGCCTCCTCAACAAAGCAGAGCGAGTAGGCATCGGCGGACCTCTTCTCTCTTGGCTACACGACTACCTGAGTAACCGCTGCCTAAAGGTGGTAACTGGAGGCCGTGCTTCCAAGAAGTACCCCATCACTGCCGGAGTGCCCCAAGGCAGCGTCCTGGGCCCCACACTCTTCATAATAATTATTATTGTTTGCTGCCGATATCGACCAGTTCCTCTCCTATGGAGTAAAGCTCAGCTCTTTCGCCGATGACACTACCGTGTACAGTCTGAGCCGACCAAACGACGACCTCCAGGAGAAGGCAGTATCCTTACAGACAACCCTCAGGAATCTTGCCACATGGGGCCAGCAATGGCGGATCCAGTTCGAGCCCACCAAGAGCCAGGGCCTGATTTTATGCAATGCTCGAAAGCGCCCTGACTTTCCACCAACCACCTTTGCCAGCGAGATTATTCCAGACTCGGACCACCTAAAGCTGCTTGGAGTCACATTCGACTCTAAGCTTGGGTTCCAGCGCCATACCGGTATTCATGCTGTCGCTGTCAAGGCCAGCCAGCGCCTGGGATTCTTGCGCCGTGCTGCTTGGCTTCTGGGTCATGAGGGCCGCCTTGCCGTGTATAAGGCTTAAGGGGTTCATTTGGCCCATCCTGGAGTACGCTCCCCTAGCCACCATGTGTATACTTTCTCTGTTTTTTTCAATCAATACCATTTATTGAAACAAAGAAAAATGGTGGCACATATGGCCCACGCGGAGTACAAAATAAACATAAAGGAGAAAAAAAGTAGTACATTGAAATGAGGCTCTAAGTCACAGTGGCCGTGGCAAACAAAGAGAGAGAAGAAGGAAAAAAAGACAAGAAAGAAAGAGAGGTAAGCAACTCCATGTACATCAGCAGTACTTGTGTCACACACTTACAATGAACACTCAGCAGCCGCCAGAACAGCCGAGTGAACTGGAAGTGGTACTGAAGAGCGCCAGTAGCTGCGCAGACTTGCAACCATGGCTCTCACTAGACGGAAGGACAGTTTAGTCCGGACGAAAGCCGTGATGACGGAAAAAGGCTCGTTTTCCTTGTCGCTCAGTTTGCTGGCAATCCTGGGAAACAGCGCAGATGAGGCTTTTCCCTTTCCACCAGTGGTGGGGAAGACAATGGGCACAAAGGAGGAGAGTCCCTCCCACCTGATCTCCTACCAAATTACACTTTCACCGTGCTGTAAAACCTATTAAGTAATGTAAAGAGCTCTGGTTTTTGCGACCACCTGTATTTACCGACCGTTTTTCCTGACACTGACAGTTCTGCGCAGGAACTGCACCGGATACAGCGACCACCTGCCTTGGGCGACCAGCGACGGAATGCTAGTGTACGTGCCGCATTGAATCTTGGCTGGCGGGGTTGACAGCAACAGGATTGAAGTGCGCTCTGAAGCAAGTGCATGCAGTCAATCGAAGGGACAGGTGAAATTGCAGGAAGCGCTGCATGCACTTGAGTGAGGTGTGCTTTGCCTGCCCGAAAATACTCTATGCTCCGCACATGTCTATATGAGTACATGGAAGTGCAATCGCACATGATCTTACTGTATTTGACTCCAAGAGTACATAAACAATGTACTCTTGACGACTCGAATGCATGGGACATAGTTCTAAAGACCACCTGATTTTAACAACCGCTTTTGCTTGCACCGTGGGGTGGTCGCTTAAAGCCTAGTTCACATTCGACGGGGCGAGACGGGACACGACGTAAGGATCGACGGAAAGCGACGGGACGGTCTGACGGCGTCCAATGTGAACACCAGGAACGGGAACGCAACCGTACTACCGTACAGATTGGAAAGCGACGGGAAGAGTTGGATCGATCCAACTTTTCATACCGTAGACGGGGACGCAAGCGTACAAAACGGCTGCAATTTGAGTGTGAACAGGAGACGGCGTCGTGCGCCGACTACTCCCGATTCGTACTTGGAATTTTTTAGCATTTCGAACACTGCGCTTCCCATGATAACTCACAGAATGGCTAGCACGTGACTTGAGTTGAATTTTAGCAACATACTAGTAAGATCTCATGTCACTTATTGTATTTAGGGATAGTTCAGAAGCGTGACAGACGAACTATTCTATCATTTCCTGGGGCTATTATTTGAATGCCACAACTTTCAGGGCTAATTTTTTGGTCTTCATGAAAAACCGGTATTGTGAACTTTATTCCGCTTCTTTCAAGGAGAAATAATTGAAAAGAAGTCCCGAAAAACGAGAAATAATAATTAGGCCCGAAAGTCACCCCGTCACGGACCGTGCCTTATGACTCGCTCCGTTCGACCTTGAACGTCGCAACGACTGCTGCATGTCGTGTCGTACGAATCGTACAGGATTTTACAGCTCACCCCAGCCCTCCCGACAAGCCCTTACGTCCCGTACCGTCGGCGTTGCGCCGAAAGTGAACCAGGCTTTAACACACAAACACAAAAAATACGATACGACTGGTGTACGGTTCTCAACGGTGTCTTTGGTTTTGGCATCTGATGGAAAAAATGGATGTGCGCAACCTTTCCTCCTCCTCCTCCCCCCCCCCCCCCACCATCTCCAACCAATGCCTTCTACAAATGGTCTGGACACGTTCTGCTGCCTCTAAACCACAGAGAACGTGTGTTGCCGTTTCCTTTCTTATGCACTCCATTTCTTTCACAATCGGCCCCTTTTCATTAGCAGTGCGCCGGTTCTCTTAGGTCATCGGATTGACAGCAAGGATAAAACTATGGATGATTAATGGTGGTAAAGTCGACTTCCAAGTACTTCATTCTCCCGAGTCTAGGGTATAACTACATAATTATACTCATCGCGAAGATCTCCTATGTCATCGCTCATTTCACCAGCAACGATACATTGTGATGGGAATGTGATATGACACAAGACTGACCTGTTTCCAAAATCGGCTGCGTGTCCCTGAGAGAATTTCAAATAAATACACCCGAGTGTATGTAGCACCAACCGACATGCAGCCACTAGTACAAAATAGGGGTGAAAGTTGGCACTGAGATCCCGAGTTCGAGTACTCTGATTTTCTCCAATCGAATATTCGAGTATTCTTGATATCCTAAAACATCGCACACCAAGGGCCTTAATAATCACATGATACAACCCTGATTGAACCCATCGGCAGTCCTTTTCTCGAGTGTATTGGTTGGTGGGTCAATTGGGCTCTCTCTACTGGTGAACAAATGTTAACCACACAGTCTGCACATCAATGTCTGTCGACTGCTGCTGTGAAACTGCAGATTTCTGTGGTAAATGCATGTACCATGTATGAGCGAGTACTCTGATTTATTCCGAGTACGATTTTATTTGAAAAATCCAAACGAGTATTCCAATATTCGGCATAATTGTTTCACCCCTTATACTAAGGCATGTGTACTGAACATATGTAATAGATTTTCCTGGCGTTTGGAAAGTATGTCAATCTGTTCGTGGCATACGCAGTTCCGTAAGGATCCATCTGATCCAGCCATGCGACAGGCGTGTAGTGCAGATTCAAGTGACTACGGACCTTGGCAAGAAGCCGCTGCGGGCAGCCATAGATAAATTCTTGCCAACTTGGGAGACTGCCACTGATGATTTGGCATTGCTGCTTCGCGTCCGGGAAATTGACTTCTTTGCTGCTGACCATTTTGAGTACGGAAGATGTTTGTGGGCACGCACTTGCCAGTGCTTGATCTGCAGGTACAGTCCAAAGCAAGCCATCAACAAAGCCAGCGATCAACAGTCTAACACACCACTCCGAACGCGCACCACTGGCCTACAACAGAATCAATTTAGATCCCCCCTCCTCTAGCCTCTTTTCCTGACCCGGGCCATGAAACTACAGTACGTTTCAAATTACATCCCTCAGTCGTACTTGAGAAATGTGTTGTTAAGGTAGCAGCCTGGTCGTAAATTTCATATGGCATTCAATTGACCGTAACGTTGGTGTCTCTCAATGGATTTAAGGTGGCAGGGGCGGTACAACTTTTTTGGGAAAATTTTGACTGCATTTTTGAGTTTATCGGCAAGGCAGAGATGAAATTTGAAAATGTTTTCTTGTGAATCTCTGGAGAATAGCCTTCTCTAGCTTCCTGTAGTTTTATTTTTACTTTTGGACAAAATTAGAAAATGTTTTATGAAAGGTTCCGGTTATTTTTTCACGGACCTTTCATAAAACTTTTTCAAATTTTGTCCAAAAGTAAAAAATAAAACTATAGGAGGCTAGAGAAGGCTCTTCTCCAGAGATTCACCAGAAAACATTTTCAAATTTCATCTCCACCTTGCCGATAAACTCAAAAATGCAGTCAAAATGTGATCAAAATGACCCCTAAAAAGTTGTACCGCCCCAGCCACCTTAAGTGAAATTTGCACCACACACCCCTGCCACTATGCTGGCCCTCTCGACATGATTTAAAAGTTCTTGCGCCTCACAGACAGGCTTTACAGGCCGGAAAACTCAAAATTCCGGCATAGTGCCCCGATGTGTGAGCCACCCAAGAGAAAACAATTTTTTCCACATTTTCTAGCCAATTCTGCCCGTGCACGGGATCCAAACCTAAAAAACGTCCAGAAGCAGCCATGGGTGGTGGGATACAGTAAGATCGGGCGCCGAAGAACACCTCGCCGAAGAACACCCAGGCTGGAAAACCGGCAAAATTTAAGAACAGTCCAGGCTAGAATTATCAGATTTAAGAACACTAGATCTACATTGTACGTAGATCTACATTGTACATGTATGGGAGGTGAGTACATGTCATGTACACGTGTAAACAGTAACTGCTACATGTACAGTCATTCCCATTTACGACACCCAATAGTTTAGAAGTACTACATTGCACTACATGTGTCATGTACATGTACATGACAAACGTCATGACGTCACTCGACTCGCCGCGCGCGTGTGCCGTGTGAATAAGAACGGTCTGGCTAGAATCAAAAATTTAAGAACTTTCCTAGGCTGCGCTCGAGCCCCTGCGTTCTTCGGCGCCCGATCTTACTGTAGGGCCCTTCAACGTGGCCCTGGGATCTGTCACAACGGCAGGAGTGGGCGTTCTGTCACAGACTCCCACAAACCCAAGTCAATTTTTGATTTTTTTTAGGTTCAGGGCGTGCTATGAGGTCGTACCTTTGATACAACATGCAGTGCTGGGACCTCCACAGCAAGCCATTTCCACAGCGCTGCAAAGGAAATCCAGGATACCCTCAAAATCGGCAAAGACTACCACTCACGTTTCTCTTTACAAGGCGTGGGCCATCCCCTGGACTATCAAAATGGGTGCCTTATTATTATTTTTCTGTTTCTGCTTTAATGACAATCCATTGCACGCCTGAAAAATAGTACCTAGTTTATTAGGCGGGTTACAGAACTGTCGTTCGCTGGCTTACTTGTAGTTTTGAGAACGCTTCGCTCTTCATTGAGATATTTATCATTCTCTCTTTTTCTCCTTATCTTCTCTCCAACCCTCCCTGTAACATAAAACATATTCGCTGCCTTGTCATTGAGCATTTGTTCTCGTTTGGATTAGTGAATTGGCGGTACGGTGATGAAATGGCTCGTTAGCTACCTTACAAACCGGACACAACAAGTCCGCATTGGTAGCGAACTGAGCAACATCACAGTATGCACAAGTGGAGTACCCCAGGGATCTGTATTGGGGCCCATCTTGTTCAATATATACACCCGAGCGGTAGCTGCAGTAGCTCACCCGACCCCTAGCATACAATTTGCTGACGATATTGCACTGTACCAAAGTGGTTCCAACACGGCAACTATTTCACTGGGACTCTCGTCATCCGTCACTGCCCTGGCCGACTTGCTCGAAAACCGCGGCCTGATATTGAATGAACGCAAAAGTCAAGTTCTGTCCATCTGTGGGAGGGATGCTCAAACCAGTATCGCTGTAAATTGCCATCAGACCCGCTTACCTGCTTGTACTGCGGCCAAGTACTTGGGTTTAACCATCACCGAGCAACGGACCTGGGACCATCATATCCACGATGTTACAGCGAAGGTGAACAGGAAAGTCGGAGCATTGTGGCGAGCCCGGCGATCCCTTTCCCAGAAGGCCAGGGTCCAATACCTAAAATCCGTTGTGATGCCCGACCTATTATATGGAAGTGTGGCCTATAGCACGTCCCTCTCAGCTTTCGCTCTAGGGAAACTCCAACGTCTTCAGAACCGTGCCATCCGCGCTGTGTTCAGCCTACCACCCACATCTTCGGTAAGCCACCAAAGGGAGAGCATACCCTCCGGAAAATCGAGGAAACACAACACTACCGACTCCTCGATCTCATCTGGCGCGGCCTGAACGGCCAATGTAGTACAGCGCTTTCAAAGCAGCTGACGCCCGCAACCACGGCCCCAACTCGACATCAAGCCAACGCCGGGCTCATTCTCCCGCTGGCCAGGACGAATACAGGCCGATTTCGCAGCAGCCGTGTACCCGTACACTCTCAGGCCATAAACGTTTTTAAAAGAAGAGAAACAGTGACATGCACCCCCCCCCCCCCCACACACACACACGGACAGTATGTATAGTCATAACGAACGGTCTTTTCCTGTTAGCTCTGTTTGTCCAATACATGAGATAAAACGTCTTTCTTGTTCTTTTTCCTTCTCCATGTAGCTGCTTCCAGCATGGTAAACGACAGTACCATGGCCTTTTCCGATTTTCATTGTACTTATTTATTTTGTAGTACCTCCCGGGATCAGTATTTTCCACTTGAAATAACATCCACCCCAATGCCTCATTCTTAGCATTCTTTTATTCGCTTCCATGTAATTGGGCTTATTGCCCGTTTGGTATTGCGAATTCAAATAAAAAACAACAACAATACAAATAAAGTATACAAACAACAAACAAACACTACTGCCTAGTACTGAATCCTACCTGACTTCTTGACACGACTCAAACTTGCCAAAGTCACTAAATCAACGTCAACTACAATAATCAAGCCACATATCTGCAACGTCACGAGGGTGCTGGCAAACGTCCTGCTGCACGGCCGTGTAGCCCAATACGTGGCTAAAAACGTGATTTTTTGGACTTTTTTTTGGACTTGGAGCAAAATTCTGCACACTTTCGCGTGTTTCCATGATACGACAAGTTGCGCACGGTCTGCTCACATTCAAATACAGTGCTGCCAACAAATGACAGCGTGCAACAAAAAAACTTTCCTTGCAAGGGCACATATTCGGCCATAACTCTTGAACGGCTGGTCAGATCGAGACAAGATTTTCAGAGATTTTGCAGCTATTCATGCTCGTTCAACTGATGTAGCACTCGATATGAATTTACAAATTCCATTTTTCAGGGATTTTACGACCAGGCTGCCCCCTTAAAGCAATTTGTTTTATAAGTATTTGCGATGTTAAACGCATGTGTTCAAGTGGTTACTTGGTCCGAAGATGCAGTAAAACCTGGTTTAAGCGACCACCCCGCGATGCAAGCAAAAGCGGTCATTAAGTCCAGGTGGTCTTTAGAACCAGGTCCCACAGTTTCTGTGTAGAACTGACCGTGCATGGAAAACGGTCGTTAAGAGCAGGTGGTCGCTTAAACCCGGTGGTCGCTTACACTAGGTTTCACTGTATTGTTGTTGTTGTTGTCAAATCTCCCACCATTTTGCTTGTTTCAATTCCGGAACCATCTATCCTTAGCTAAGAAGGCCGCTGTAGACACGTTGGACAAGTAAACCAAGCTGTTGATCATTTCCAGGCACCCTAGTACAGATCAATAAGGTGACGACCTGGGCGAGGATGTTGTTGTGGTGATGTGCACTGATCTCGCTGATGATAGCTGCATCGATATCAGTCTGGGGCTCATATATTGAAAGTGTCACAAGAGAGCAATCAGGATCCCCACTTTGTTGTGATGCTCGGGTTGGTTCACACCATCGAGGTTAATATTAATGGTTACAGTTCGCATGTCACTTAAGGAAGGATCCATGGGCTTAACACATGTGTCAACGAAACTGATCCAGGCATAAGAGCCAACAAAAGGCATTTCATTATTGTTAGAACGTGTGGCAGGAAGAACAACTACGCAAGCGCAGCACATTTTCCCACAAGCATCAGCAATTTTTTCTTGTCTAGAGCCAGATCAAAACAGTCAGAAATATCAATATTGGCGTGCTTTTATATCATTTTTATTTTTGTCAATTTCTATCCTACGAAGTACTGGTTGTGATTTCGGCGATGTTTATCGCAACCTCCAGTGTGGAAGCAAACCCCTTCCTAAAAAAATTCTATCCTGTCGAATATATCGCAAGGAAACATGTGAATATTGAACACTTTGGGGCACCCTGCGTATTAGTTAGTTCGTGGAATGTGTGATGCTTACAGGGAATGGCTGTGCCCTACCAGCTAACACGCTTTAGGTCGTTAGGGGTCTATTGGGAATGCCCAAGTAAAATAATAAAATACAATACAATACAGGTCTTTAAAGTAAGGTTATCACACCAATGGTCACTTACCGAAGTGTGTTTTGACGCACACGTGGTTGGCCAACGTTCCTCGGCAGAAAGCATCAGGACACACGTTCATGTAAGCCGGTCTCCACTCATTGCATGGCTGACTACAGAGTGACGTGACTGAACAGAGAGCATTGAACAAAAAAAATCACGGTTCGTGTCAGACTTGGCTAGATTCCGACTTTTCCGCATCCGTAGGAACGCCACCATCCTTCAAGGATCATGGCGCAGATGCAGCTCCTAAAGCTGTGGGAGGTGAGTATATCAGCTCACCAGCAAGTGGTCAAAGACCGAATATCCCATTCACTGCATCCATGTTTTCCTTGTGCCAGGCCACGAAGAAGAAAGACACCAGACACCGTTTTTCCAGAGTAAAAGCCGCACTGGAGTAAAAACAGCACCAAGATTTTTACGTAACAAGAAAGTAAGCAGGAGCACTCGGCCCCTGAAAAGGCTGCGTCCGCTTCAACAGCACCACCGTTTTGCTCTGCGCCCGACCATGTACATGTACATGCCCCACAGCAGCAGCAAGAGGTTCCATCAGATTACTGAAAATGTTTTTTAAAATATTTAATTGTAATTCTATGCTGGTGGTGAAGTGGACGCAGAATTACCAAGACTTTGTCACATACCATGCATTTCATGGTTCAGTTGACCATAGTAGTATAAGCCGCATGCATCAACTTTCTGTTCACACAGTGCGGTGTATGCTCCGGAAAGTACGATGCCAGTTTTCCTGGGGCCCGAAATTGCCGTGTTTCGAGGCACCGTACAGTTCTGGAATTTTGCTCAGCTTCATTTTTGGCTGGAGTCTGTTCCACATCCTCTCTACATCCCTCGTTCTTAGCACTCCTACGTTTATAGTGCTTCCCATCTCAGTAGAAAGATGGTACAAATGGGCTAGTATGTAGAAAGTAAAGAAAGAACATGATTGTTTTCCACTCATGTAAAAAAGAGAAGAAACACATGAGAACGAGTTATGCAGCAACTATCCCCTCTTCGGTCCTACGTAACCATGAACCTTCCAAGTTGGAAGGCTGTTGGCTTGCGCACTGGAGATGTGTTAGAGCTAGGTCTTGGGGCGCTGAATGTCTCAGTAGCCTGTCAGTTTTGTGCCCTATTATCGCACTTTCTGACCGTTTATCATCTTGTTACAATCGTGGATAGTTGCTGCATAACTCGTTCTCATGTGTTTCTTCTCTTTTTTTACATTTATTGCTGGCTCAGTATCCGAGTTTAAACCTTCCGCTATTCGATATTCAGTCAACTTAATAGCAGCTGGGTGCAAACAACCATTGCACATCCAGGATGTGGTGATTAGCATTGAAAATTTCAAATGTTACACAATGGTTTTGTGCAAGTTGAGAGTAGAGACATCACTCGAAGTACCCAGTCCCAATTACCTGTTCATTATTCAGGGGCGTAGGAGGGGTTTTGGAAGTGGTACGACCGAAGGTCGGCGCGGCCAAAGGCCGTGTTGGAGAGGGGTCAGGGGGCCGTCCCCCGGGAAATATTTGTAAAAAAGACACAAAACCCTGATTTCTGGGACTGTGCAGCGTGCAGTCGAGTCGAGTACAGGACTCAGTATGATTGCAGATGCATTGCAGATCTACGAGTACGAGTCTAGAAAAAAGTTCACAGTCTGATGCGCATACGCATCGATGGATCCTGATTTTTTTATTACGATTTTGCACGTTGCGGACGGACAACACTTTTCGAAAAGTAATACGGCCATAGTCGTACCAGTTGTAGCCGGTGCTACGCCCCTGTGTATTCTTTCGGGAGGTAAGTCATCTAGCATTGTCCTCCATTCTTCAGGGCAGAGTGAAGCTGTGACATACCTAGAAGACACCTAGAAAAGCTGTTTCTTTCAGCAGTCCACTGACCCCACAATGAGAAACTTGCAGATTATTCCAACACCTTTATGAGCACGGGGACCCTGACTTTTTTCAGCCTGCGTTGTCAGCCGTGTTCGACGTCATCATTTTGAAGCACAAGCCTTCACGGAACACCTAGAGTGTGTTCGGTTGATATGATCTAGAACAGGATCGAACAGCTGGTGCATATGGAGCAGCCTCCTGTCAACCAAACGGTACTCCAGAAAAAGAGCACATTTTTTTGTGAAAAATGTGCCAAACTTGGTGCATTCTTCAAAATGTGTATGGGTCACAATAGTCACTTTGTACGGTACAGCGAGTCCAACCCACAAGCATATGCACTTGATCATTTGGCACGACCATCGATATTCCCCCCAGGTTTATACTGTGAAAAGGTGAAAGCTCGGTCTTCTCCAGCCTCGAGACCAGAGCAAGCAGAAGATTTTCTGGCTGACCTAGAACAGGTGCAATCCCAAACAAACGCGCTGTTCTGGCAGAGGAAAAAACTTACTATTTCCACCGAGTAGAAAGTCCCTCTCCAGTATCCAATTCAAGTTATACGTGAACTGCTTGTTGCCGTAGTACAGGCCCTTGCACAGCAGATGATCCTGCACCAGTGGGTTATCACTCAGTTCGATGTATCTGGGAAGTGAAAAAACCCGAGAATGATCCTAGAGTTCTATACTTCAGCGGTCTACAGAGGTTTCCTCGTGACTATCATCAGTTGAACATCGTCACATGGTAAGAACCAATAAAACATCCAGTTATGTAGGTGACCAGTTATATAAGTAGAATTATATCTCAAATAGTAGCTTGCGGTTACACATAGCGTCAAATAATACAGAATCACCATTCCTTGTGAATACACACAGCTGCCACATTCATCTACCGCTGCCATTTTCATGTTCACTGCATAAGCTCATACTTCTGATATAAATGATGCTACGATAAAACGCTCTGGAATTTCATGTTTTTCATTTTTATAATTGTTTTATACATGATTATGAGTGCAAAATTAATCTTAGGGCATGTTCGTTTGGTAGGATCGGGATCCCGATCCACCGGATCCACTGGATTCGCACCCTTTCGATTGGTCGAATCTGGATCCGGATCCTTCGGATTTGGATCCGATCAACCCACCTCGGGGAGCAGGGTTGCCCGGATCCATCGGATCCAAATGTGACCTTTGTGCGTATATGGCGGGTGAAAACCATTTTTGTACACATTGTGATACGCGCACGTGGATGGAGATAGAGCTTGTTGACTTTTTGTACGACGGAGGCGATGAATACGACGGTCATCCTTTTGGGTGATTTGTGAGCGCCATTGTCAACATAGCAACAGTCAAGGTCCAAAATAAGGTGTTCAGTTGAATCTGAAGGATCCGATGGATCTGAGATCTGGATCCTGATCCCGATCCTTACCAATCGAACATGCCCCAATTCATCGCTATTTCAAACCCAACAAGTTCACGATTCACTAGATACCACATACAACAAAATGGCCAGAGGCCGAAAATCCCATTTGCTCGATCCATGTTCATCAAGGGAATGCTAACTGCAAGAGCACTCCTCTTCTCCCCAATGATAACATGGAAAAACGGTACTTACGCATTTGAAGGAAGGCTTTGGAACGTGTTTGGAATAATCCTCTTTAGCAGATTACTATCCAAATTCCTGGGATGAGAAACATTGATACACATGCCGAAATCACATTGAGCTTTAATTTATCCTTCGTTCTCCATTCGAGTCCATTCTGGCTTATCTAAGAACTTTTCAAGAAGATTTCAACCCGTGTCTATATGATAGGCGCAACTTTTTACCGTAAGTTGGATAACTGTTGGATTATGATCCCGAGATGTGTTCAAACCAGTTGTCAGGCGGAGATATGTTGTGGTGCTCAGAGCAATGCACTCCAACAAATGGTTCAACATGACGTATGATTATTGTACCTTATTATCCATATCCGCATTTCACAATCCGAGTTAAAGTTTGGACTGTCTTTAAATTCACGTAATGAAATCCAAAAGAAGTAGTAAACGGTTGACAGTAAAGATGTTCTGCGATATGTGAAACGTAAAGAAATCACGTAGAGAGCAGGTGTCTGGGTTAGAGTCCACGGCTTCGCGTATTTGGGGTCCAGATTTCTACGCGTAGATGAGGTTCTCTACGTTGTGGCGCACGCAAAGAAAATGCATACGGATCTGCTGGGTATCATTCGAGTGCAGGCAGAAAAATGTCAAATATGGAAAGGGAAAATTCCCAGTACACATTCCACGTGCCTTCTCTACGTGGACCGTAGAGCAGAACAGGATTTCCTTACGTTATTACGGGAACGCCAAGAGAGTTCGCTGGATTCTTTGCATCGCATTCCCGAACCGTAGAGCAGAAACTCACTATTTCCCTGAACGTTTACCTCAATCTTGGTCTTGTTTTTCATGGTAAGATTCTCTGAAAATGACGTTCATATCCGTAAAACGTATCTCCCTGCCATCATGGCAAAGTGGGGAAAACATTCCTGTTATCGGTATTGCATCCATGGTAAACTAATGAAGTCGTTTCCAAGTACTTACAAGGTACGCAGCTTCGTATTCTTAGCAAAAGCACCTTGAGTGATGTAGCTTATTTTGTTGGTTGAGAAGTCGCTGCATGCAACGCAACACCAAATTGCAACGACAATAAATTAACCATCTTAGCAAATAAAATTAATGCAATAAAAACTGCTTTAATCCAGTCCTGCGTCCTTCCCCTATAGAAAATGTACAAAAATTCTTTCCAAACCGCCATGGACACCGTCTAAAAAGTAAGAAATTAACGAAATGTGCTAGCCGAAATTAAAATTTCACATAAATCCTCACAATACACACAACACTTGAAGATCTTAGTTTTAACCTAAAATACAGCTTTCAACACTTGTTTAGTCTGACACTTGTACTGCGCCAACATGTATACATAGGAAAGAGGATCACGAGGGGAAAGATCTTTTCGCTTTTCATCCTGTGTGGTTGCTCAGCATTTTAGTCCAATTCATTTTGCGATCCCTGCACATCTAGACATGGTTCTTATCATAGCAGGGTTGATACGCAAACAAATCTTCAGCCACATCTATTTTTAGGACAAAAATGGCCAGGCCGAAAACAACTATGTGCTGAAAATAGTTTTTACTTGAAGTGATGTCTTACGATCGTGGGTAGGAGGTCATTTTGGAGATGAGCATGACACACATCTGTGGGTATGACGTCACTTCGAAGGAGAATATGACCTAAAGGTGAGGGCATGATGTTATTTTAGAATGTTTGCACATATCAATTGACACATACGTGGGTGTCTGAAGAGAGTGCACAGAAGTCAGTGACTTACATCCTTTCGACGTTGACCAGAGGATCAAGCACACCGTCCACAAGACCAAGAATGTTGTTGTCTTCAAGATCCCTATGGAACAACCACAGACATGGAACAAAACAGATAGGAAATGGACGAGCCGAGACAAGGGAAAAGAGAGAGAGAGAGAGAGAGAGAGAGGGAGAGAGAGAGAGACAGAGAGAGACAGAGAGACAGAGAGAGAGAGAGAGACAGAGAGACAGACAGAGAGACAGAGACGCAGAGAGACAGACATAGACAGAGAGACATAAACGGACATAGACAGAGAGACATAGACAGAGAGAGACAGAGAGAGAGAGACAGAGAGAGACAGAGACAGACAGAGAGAGACAGAGAGACACGGAGAGAGAGAGAGAGAGAGAGAGAGAGAGAGAGAGAGAGAGAGACAGAGAGAGAGAGAGAGAGAGACAGAGAGAGACAGAGACAGAGAGATAGAGAGAAAGAGAGAGAAAGAGAGAGAGAGAGACACACACACACACACACACAGAGAACGAGAATGAGAGAGAGAGAAAGAGAGAAAGAGAGAGAGAGAGAGAGAGAGAGAGATAGAGACAGCGACAGAGACACACAGAGGGACAGAGAGAGACACAGAGAGAGACGCAGAGAGAGAGATACGGGGAAGAGAGATAGCCACAGGATAGGGAAGAAAGAGAGAAATTAATACAGTACATTGCCATCTTGGCACTCAGCATGTTTGATTACATGGGCTGAGCCCAGGCCAAGGAATCCTCTAAGGACAGCAATAACGTCCCAAAGACCGTTTGGAGAGTGTTGCAAATATATTAATTTTCTGTTTCCTGATGACCGCTTAGTGCGTGAAAAATCTCAGAGAAATAACGTCCATGTGAATACAAAACTGGATCTTGTCTGTACTCGTGATCTCCATCACAAAACTCTGGAAACATCATGTATGCGCCCATCATTGTTTACATGCACTTGCAGCATCAATAGCACCAAATCGAAAAGTCGTAGTTCTGGCAGGTGAATTGGAAATTTTGCGATCAATTCGGAACCGGTGCAATAGGCTATCGTTGAACACTAATGAATTCAATCACGCACCAACACGGACTGTGGAAACTACCATAAGACGTATATCCTTTGGGTTTTGGAAAAGTATGTAGTATCCGCTGTAATTCTTAATAACGACAATATCTGTAACGACACCTGCAGCCCCACAATTGGGATACATGGACAGTATGTGTAGATGCTCGAAATCGTTTAGTGCACACAGAAATGCCCATGTCGTTGGGTAGTGCCACCAAATCCCCTTGACTACTCTTCCTAGTGTACGACTTGAACATGGAAGGGAAAGCAAAATGATTACACATATGGACGCTATGGCTTGTAACAACTTTGCCCGCAACGCCCACTTACAGATGGCGCAGATTCACCAAGCCCTGGAATGAGTTTGGAAGCAGGAATCGCAAGCCGTTTCTCCGCAGCGAACTGTAGAGAGAGACAGAAACGCAGAAGCAGAGGCAGAGACACACAGATGGACAGACAGATAGGTACAGACGATGCGATGCGACGATGCCTTGCTGATTTGGCGTGAAGTACAATGCAGGTGAGTACGTCACCATGGTAATCGCGCGGTTTGGTAAAACTTGTACAGATTTATAGGCAACTTAACTCTTGAAAAGCGGTAATCACAAAAGCTTTTTTGCGATGGGACATGCAATGCAACTGCCGCAAAACCAGGAAATCCCAAAATCGCATCCATCTCGCAGCTCACGCAACTGGGCCATCGCAGAAGTTGAGCTTTGCTCAACTTTTGCGATGCGACAAGCGATTTGGCGTACAATTTTGACCTTTTCTACAGCAAAGTTGTACAAAGGTTCAAGAGTTGCCTGTAAATTTGTACTTCCTCCGCGTCATTAAAATTGTCGCTTCTCAGAGGAATTTTTCAATTTTATTCTGTCCACTAGAAAGGCAAAGAAATCAGCTAGAAATTGAAGCAGAGCATTATCGACGGAACAAGCTTTAGTTTTGTGGCCCCCTGCTTCGCTGCATCTGCAGCTAAGGTCGACGTCTTCATCAGATTTTGGGGCAGACCCTTCAGCACTCAACAAGACGCTGAACAAGACAGGCGTTCATGAAACTTCGTTTGCAAGCGATCCATGCCTCCAGGTGGCAGGCGATGACGGCAAAGTGGCATTTTTTTCAAGTACACTTTAACGACCTTCCAGCGGCATAGAGTGAGCAGTTCCGTACCTTCTTTCCTTGTAAACACCTAAAAACGCTTTTTTTTTCTTTATTTGCTTATCGTTTTCCTGTGCACAGCAGAAAGGTTTCAAACACGAAATGAAAACGCTTTTCAATCGTTGTCGTGTCGTGTAAACGAGGGCTTTAGTATACACTATATATAAATTTGCCTTCAAAATGTTAGATTTGCGCCATGCTGCAGCTATTTACACTTTGCTTTGTGAATATATAATATAAACCAATACTGATCCAGATTTCTCATTACTGTTTTCTGATAATTGCTTAGTGCATGAAACTCGGAGTAAAAACACTTTCTCTGTCCTCCTATTACATGTACTTGTTTAAATTTGTCTTCATCATTATTTTTTTGTGAAAACTGTGGTAATACGCGCAATGAGCAGGCAGATGTTGCCTGTGCTTATGGTGAGTTAAAGTGAAGCTAAACAACAACAAGAACAACAGCAATTTCAAATTTGGACTTCACTGAGAATTTCGAAAGTTTTAAAAAGAGCAGCACGTGGCATGTGGCCTCTAATTTCCAAGAACAACAGCAATTCGATAAAGCTGGTGAATGTGTACTTCGAAGTATCACAATAGAAATGGTCTGACGATATTCAGAAATGCATTGTTGTTACACATCCCAGCGTATGGCCTAAATTTACATAAAAACAACAACGACTTACAGGGAGACAGTGTGGGTTTTGTCGTTGTCAGGAATCGACGGGACTTGCGTCATCCCGGGAGAATTGCAGGCGTAGTGCAGCTCGACGTCGCCGTTTGTTGTTATCAGGAGCTGGCGGCTGCATGGAAGAGTGGATCCGCTTGCCACTGCTAGGCAAAACATCACCACCCCAAGCATGGCAGCTATTTTGGGACGAAAACTCCCTTGGCGTAATCCTTCATGAACAAAAGGCAAGCAACGAACATCGCTGGTGTCAGTGAAACTGGAGAAAAACACTTTTGGAAGAAATCGAGAGATTTTTCTTTGCTACATAATTATTATATGCCTAAAATGGACAAGCGGGTAAACTACTAGTAGGTGATTTACAGACAGAAAAACAGATAGGTCGGCCAGAATCTGCCATGCGTAATTGTTTTAAATTAATACAGCACTGCTATGTACAGTGGAAGAATAATGACCTGTACTTCATCATGCAAGATCACCGCTTTGGCCGAGTAGTTGTAGGCTTGCCTGCGTACTCACAGCTCGGGGTAGGGTAACATGGATGCAGGTGCTAAAACGAGGTTGGCCCCCTTGTCCGGCATTGGTTGTGAGAGCTATCACCTCTACTTGGCCGTAAGGCGCTGCATCAGCCACCCTGGTATCGCAGGCATGGTGGTGGCCTGGTAAGAGCGAAACTTCCTAAGCTGGTTGAGTTTCTCTACGCAATTGTATAGCCGGTTGTTGTAACACGGAAGTGCGAACTTTACGTACTTCCATTACTTCATCATGGAGGCGAACAGCCTCTTCCATGAGCGTAATTGTGAATGAATATTTTTCCCAGTTGTCTTCATCATCGAGGTTGCTGTTTTTACACCCAAAAAACTTGTTTGTCTAGCTATGCTTATGCAATCAACGGAATTCCGCCACCTTGCAGTTGATTTTCCCCATTTCTCTCCTCATCAATCCCTACTTCTCTTTGTACATACATCAACATCTACTGTTCTTTCAATCAAATGAACCCCTCGATAGGCACATTGCCTTTGGGTCATTTCATAATAATAATAATAATAATAATAATAATAATAATAATAATAATAATGTAAAATAGAAAAGGACATATGGATACGAGTTTAGAGTAACTCTCCATCACTGTAACATGATACTATATACAGTCAGAAAGTGCAATAACTAGGCACAAAACTGACAGAGTACGGAGACATTCGACGTCCTGACACCTAACTTTAACACATCTCCGTAGCGCTAACCGACAGCCTTCCA